TCCAGCTTGTCAAATAGTGTTAAGTTATCAAGATATTGGAAGAGTTGGATTTAGAGTCAAAAAGTGTTAATTTATTTAACTCTTAATCAAACTTTTCTACATAACAGACCTGGACAAAACATTGTTTTTACATGTACATGGGCAAAGCCTTTTTATTTGAGGTTCAAAATGTCAAAGGTAAAGGTCACTGACTGAAAGAAAAATGTTTTCTTCACAGAAATCTCATTTTTTGACCAACAACTTAAATGGTGGGTTAAAACTATTTATATTAGTAATGGTTAAAGGTCATGGTCACAGACTGACAGAATAAAAATGGTTTTTGCATACTAAATTTACTTCTTTACTATATACTATGAGCAGAGCTTGTGAAAAGCTTGCACTGAAGTTATGAAAGTTCTCTTGATATTCGGGTCAATAGGTCTAAGGTTATGTTCATTTGAACTCGATGAAAAATTTCTTAAATTTTTCCTTCAGAATAATTTGTATTCTTGAGCAGGTTCCGTGACTATATTTTGTGACTGGCTGGAACATAAAGTAATAATGTAATTTATGTATTCTTTGGTATAGATTCAGTCATGGTAACCTATATATTACATTTTACAAATTCACAAACATGGTAACTTATTTATTTAGTGGTATAAATTCCATCATATATATTAAATGGTATAGATTCACAAACATCAAAACATTTATTCAGTGGTATAGATTCAGTCATGTAAACCTATATATTCAATGGTATAGATTCACAAACATGGTAACCTATTTATTCGTGGTACAGATTCAGTGATGTAACCTATATATTCAATGGTAAAGATTCACAAACATGGTAACCTATTTATGCAGTGGTATAGATTCAGTCATGTAAACCTATATATTCAAAAGTATATATTCACAAACATGGTAACCTATATATTCTGTGGTACAAATTCAGTCATGGTAACCAATATATCTTTTTTTGGTATAGATTCACAAACATGATAAGGCTAATAAGAATAGAATAGTTTCAATATGGTAACTTTAGGTGTCACATAAGTAAAGGTCAAGATCCTTGAGTATTGGTCAATACTGTTTTATGTAATTTTTCATACACCAAAAAATTAATTATTAATTTCAGTGTATGAAAAATTATATGCAAAATAAATAATTATCATTTGGTGGTGCTGACTGTACAAAAAAAGGGGATCATATCAAAACAAGTTCTACAGTACACATGCTACTCGACAACCTTATGGTACAAATGTACAAAGTAAACATTTTCTGTCTCATAAATCAAAAGTACTACTTTTGTTATTAGAGAAAGAGAGAGAGAGAGAGAGAGAGAGAGAGAGAGAGAGAGAGAGAGAGAGAGAGAGAGAGAGAGAGAGAGAGAGAGAGAGAGAGAGAGAGATGTTCAGTATGCAAGCTGGTCTGCATTTAGAACATTTGTACCTGTTATGTTATGCAAAGTAATCAAGATGGTTTGAGTATGGTATAAGTTATGGGTATTATTTATTGTTAAACTGTACACAACAATAAATTAAGTGCATGTTGTATTTTTACTACAAAAATAATCTCATTATCAAATTGCAATAAAAAAAGAACTTGAAATCAAGGCATAAGTTAATGTGTGTGTTTGCATGTGTACCAGAGAGATCAGTCAAATAAAAATTTTCAGTTTACAAGATGGTATTCATTCAGTTTAGTTTTTATTTGTAGCTTTGCAAAGAGAGAAAAAGACTATTTTCAGTTACCTGACTAGTGTGATAATCCTCATGTATTATGACCCTACTATATTCCAATGGGGACTTAACACCACAAAATCAACAGTTTATTCCAGGTATATTGTCAGCAACCACACCACTATAGTATTATTTACAACATGCTTAGTTCTTGATTTAGTCTAGTTGAAACCAGATTGAGGGCAAGAGTCAAAAAACCAGGTCAAATCATTGAAGCTGCCATTAGGGAAATGAGGCTTGCTTTAGGGAAATAAAAATTTGTCAATGAGCTATTGAAGAAGTTGTCCATATAGCAGATTCACAGGCACTTGATTTTGTGGTAAACTAATGTGTACACTCACCAGTTAACACATGAGTGTACACAGTTTACCATGGAATCAAGTGCCTGAGAGCAGTATCAGGACAAGCCATCCTATGCATTATTTGTTATTTGAACTCAGCAATAAAGATAATAGTGAGATATATCATAGAATAGATTTGCAATAAAACAGATTTTATATCCAAGTCAAAACAGAACAAGCACTTAGTATAGGTATATATATATATATATATATATATATATATATATATATATATATATATATATATATATATATATATATATATATATATATATATATATATATATATATATATTGATTAACAATGTCAATGACTTTCAAATTTGTGTAGGAAAATGACAAGGTTTTTATATGTTATGTTTGTATGGCTAATGAAACAGTAAGATAACTTCACTTTAGCATGTACTGAGATAATTTTTGTTGGATAAGATAACATCAAAAAGGTTCTGAACTCATTTTAAAATGCATGTGGTATTTTTGTTCCAGCAATGGACTTATTAAGGAGAAACAATTAACAATAATATTTAAAGATTGGGTCCGTAAAGTCCTATGTTCATTTGTTAATATTGATATTATAATGACAATAAGAGTTTTTCACATAGGCATCTGCAGGACCTTTTGCAAAAAGGGGGTGGGGGTCAGTCAGTCAGTGCCCGTGAGAGTTAGTATAATAAGAAGTCTGAAACTAAAGCTATTATTTACTAAATGTTTTAAAAAGAATCGTGTGACATATTTTCATGATTAAACTTTTCTGAATATAAATTGAAGAGTATGATTTCAGGAGGGGTTGTGACCTTCCCCCCCAACATATGCTGCGGTGTCCCCCATGCTTATGCATCAATCATTATATTTCCTCACCAACAATTAATCATTAATTTTTGTAAAAACAAAGTGGGAATATGGTATTTTCAATCTTTTTTGCAAACATCTTCTATGTGGAAATGTTTATGTCTGATAATTTAATGAATTTTTCAAATAATAAAAGTGATATGTATGAAAAATTATGATCCATTTAAATGATTATAATTTTGATAATTCGATTTTGGATGAAAAATTAAAGGGTATGAAAAAGTATATAAAATATGGTAATCTCCAGTGTCTGCTATTAGCTCTGACATTGGGAAATACTCAACTTTGGATGGATGTAAAATGTCATGTCCAGTCCACATTACTTTTGTTTATACTGGTAAATACCTGTTAAGCAGAGTGTAACATTTTTGAGTATTGGTATGCTGGTAATGCAAAGTATTTTAAACTGTCACTCAGTAAGTGTGGATGAACTAATTATACCTGAGTTAGGTATTTACAGTTTGGAGACTGTAAATTAATTCAAACAGTTTTAATGTAATTGTTTATAAAACTACTGTGGTAAACAGGTGCTAAAGTGAGAGAACTCATTGTTGATTTGTGTACAACATATTTCATTCTTGTTATTTTGCAATGGAATTATATATGGTTGATAAAGAACTAAAACAAACTAGTGAAAATCAAATACCTTCATTGATTTCAGTATTTATGAAACCAGTGTAAAATAATCCCATATTCATTAATGACCACCAGTAATGGGAGTATAGTCCCAAGACAGACAGCAATGGGGGTTGGGGTCTAGTCCCAGGACAGCCAGTTAGTGTGAATTATAAGTCTGGTGACAAAAACTTGAACAAGTAATAGCATTTCTCCAATGACAGCCTGTAATGGGAGTTAAGTCCAATGACAGTAATAAAATAGTCCAATGACAGCCTGTAAGATAGTAGTCCCATAATTGACAGTAATAGAATAGTTCAATGACAGCCTGTTAGGGGAGTAGCCCCATGATAGACAATAAAAGGAATAGTTTAATGACAGCCTGTAATGGGAGTAGTCCCATGACAGTAATAGAATAGTCCAATGACAGCATGTAATGAGAGTAGTCCCATGACAAACAATAAAAGGAATTGTTCAGTGACAACCTGTAATGGGAGTAGTCCCATAGCAAACAATAAAAGGAAAAGTTCAGTGACAACCTGCAGTGGGAGTAGTCCAGTGGCAAACAATAAAAGGAATAGTTCAATGACAGCCTGTAATGGGAGTAGTCCCATGACAAACAATAAAAGGAATAGTTCAATGAAGGCCTGTAATGGGAGTATGGCAAAAATTAAAAGGAATAGTTCAATGAAGACCTGTAATGGGAGTAGTCCCATGGCAAACAATAAAAGGAATAGTTCAATGAAGACCTGTAATGGGAGTAGTCCCATGGCAAACAATAAAAGGAATAGTTCAATGAAGACCTGTAATGGGAGTAATCAAGCGACAAACAATAAAGAAATAGTTCAGTGACAACCAGTAAGGGTAGTTGTCCCATGACAAACAGTGATTGAAATAGTCCATACTACCAGTGATGAGAATAGTTCAGTGACAACTAGTAATGGGACTATAGTCCCATGACAGAGAGTAATAGAATAGACCATTGACACAGTAATTGGACTAGTCCATTGACAACCAGTAATCTATGTAACAGATATGGAATTTATGATACAAACAACCAATTATTGGATCAACATGTGAATATCATCCACATTGGAATACAAGTAGTACTGCCAACTTTATCATAGGAAGTACTTCGAGAAGGAAGATCTAAAAAAATGTTTTGAAAAATTCCACCAAAACCTGATTCGCCACCAGTGATAGCAAGTATTTATAAGCAATATTATACCCATTAAACCTACCTGTATCATGTACCTGTATTATGTCTCAAATAATATTTGATGTCACAAACAGAATATTAATTTTTTAATTAAATTTGATCAAAATAGACAGAAAGTGTTCTTGCTTGAAGACCTTTTATGCATATGCAAATGGCACCAGCCTGCAACTAAACATACTGCTGTTATAAAATATACAAACTTTAAACAACTTTTTTAAGATAGACACTTTTAAGCACTTGATTAGATTAAACACAATTGCTCCATTGGCCTAGTGGTTAGAGTGTCCACCTCAGATGTGGGAGGTTGCGGGTTTTAATCCTGGCTGATGCATACCAAAAGACTTTAAAAAATGGTACTAACAGCTGCCTCACTTGATGCCTAGCATTAAAGGTTAGTGTTAGGACTGGTCGGCCTGGTGTCAAGATGATGTGACTGGGTGGAACATCATGCTACATGTCTATGGCATGATGCCCCGAGTGCTAGCCATCACTTTAAACTGCCATACTACAGACATAGTAGTAATGTGACTAAAAAATTGTTAAACCTACATTAAAAATTTTAATCACACACACACACACACACACACACACACACACACACACACACACACACACACACCAGATTTAATAGAAACTACCCAAGCTGGGAAAATCATTCATTTTTTGGAAAAGATGCTGTTCTGTCAGATGCTGTTAGTAGAAAAACATTTATGCAGGTTTATGTTTTTTTTAAATAAGTATGTGCATCTGATCCTTTCAGTATTTGACAAATGATGAGCTGATGTGCAAGCACATATAGATCAAGATACAAAAACTAGAGAAACCTCATGACATTCATTTTCATAATATTTTGAATGAACAGCAGTAGAAAAATCTTAAACAAAAAATGTTTTACTGATCCAGATTTCTTGCATTAGACCTTTGGCAGGTACCAGAAAGGTGAAGGATCTCAGACAGTCTCTTGGCATTTTGTAATTTTTTTTTTTAATTATCATCTTGGAAGTCTTAAAGGAGTCATTGCATTAAAAGTGGTTAGCTCCCTTTATTTTCAAAGCCTGGGTAAGTTAGATATTACTTTTTTCTGGTGATTTTTGGTTGGTTCATTTTGTTTGGGTTTGTTTTCAAAGATGTAGAAATCAGTCCAGGTGATAAATTTTCACAGAGTTCTATGAATTAATTTTGGGAGAGATAAAGGAAGCAATTAACAGGAGAGACAGTTAAAGAGATACTGGTAGACAGAATAATTCATTACCCATGTCAGCCTGAAAGTATGATTTTTGATCTCTAAGGGTATCAAGATTGGAGGTTTGGCTGGAACTAAACTAAAAATGAATTTTTTTTCGCAGTAAATCAAGAATAGATAACAAAATGAAGTTCATGAAAAAGGATGTTCTGGATATGTAACTAATTTACAAACTATGTTGATCCGAAATGCACATTAGTTTGATATGTTACCTCAGTAATCTTGTACTATCAGTTATCTTCGTACATATGAATGTCATTGTATGTCATTGTACATAACATGCGAGGTCTTGGATTCCATTTTGGGAATGTAGTGTTAATATTAAATGTAAGGTGTCTTCACTTTTAACATGAAATTTTTATAGTTTCCATGAACAACACAGGATAATAATAATAATAATAATAATAATAATAATAATAATAATAATAATAATAATAATAATAATAATAATAATAATAATTTATTTATTTATAGAGAATGCTTAATTGAGTCCAAATTGTTCTCCATTAAGAAAAAAGTAAAGCAATGTACATCATATGAAAAATAATTGTAGCTACTAAATTTTTTTCTTCAAATTTATCTTCAGTATTATAAACATTTAATTCCTTTATAATTTGTTAGTTAACACATACCCTTGATATCTCTTCTTTAAATACTGTTATACGTTCTGTACATTTTACATGCAATGGAAGCCTATTTCATAGAACTCGATCAGATTATAAGAAGCTTTTTTTTTTTAAATGCTCTGTTCTTGGTTTTGGTGGATGAAAGTTTTCATGTGATGATATCAGCTGGTAACTACCAGCTGTTAAATAAATCATGATGCAGCTCTAATATATAAAAGATCTGTCATGAGAAAATTGATTCTTTCATATATTGTAAACCATTTTAGTTTTGTAAACAGTGCTATTTGATGAATAATTTAATAGATGCCTCTAAAATAAAGCTTACTCCCCTTTTTGAAATGAATAAATCATGTTGAGTAAAGTTTCCTCTTGCAGTTGGACAGTAATCTGTTTGTGAAAGAATATATTTATTAAAGCAAAGAATGTGAGTTTCTGTAGGAACACTGCTTCCCAATAACTCATACCTGGATAATATGGGAAAAAGTTTATAATGCAGTAGCAGGTGTGGACCCCATTTTATTTCCTACAAAATGCCCCGAAAATGACCCTTATTTGTGGAACTTGAAGAAAATTGCAATAAAAATTGGTAACATAATTCCTGTTGTATTGCTCATTTTATTGTTGAAAACAGCAGTTAGTGTCCAGAAATTTGAATCAACATAACAAAATTCTCAATGAATCAACATAACAAAATTTTCAAACTTATAATAACATATACATTGTTACATTTCTTTTACCAAACAATTCTCACACAATAGCCATGTGAAATTTATACAACCCTTTTGAGTACTGTTTCATCATTTGTTACATACTATTTGCTTTTTATTTTTTCCCATTGTATATTTAGCTATATACTGATCTGTAACAAAATTACTGAATATTTTAAATATGTGTGCTGTTATTTTCGATATAAATATCAGTACTGTTGATTTAATGTACATGTTGAAATTCAAGGGTGAGTACACAGTGTTGATACACTATTCATGCTATAGATTAGACATGTATATATAAACTATACCGTGAGGGCACCAATGGTAGTTCTCTGAATAAAGTAATATATATGCAATCTATTATCACTACATTTGTTTTTCTCATTTAATATACATAATGATTTAAAATGGTAACTGTGCCAGTGAAGCACATGTTTTTGCACCTGATTTTATTACCCCACCCAAGACTAATAACCCTGCAAAATTTGTTGGTAACATACCCTTACTTAAAACAGTTTGGTTCATAACATGGTCAGGTTCTATAGCTCCAAACTACCAGGTTATAGCGGGGTCACACTGTATGTGTGTGTGTGTGTGTGTGTGTGTGTGTTTATATATATATATATATATATATATATATATATATATATATATATATATATATATATATAATTAACTGCTGACTTTTTTTATCTCCAGTTTTCAGATGCATTTGTTGCATTTTTACTCTTAAAATATAAACAAACCAACTTTGAATTGTCATGTAGATTATGTCTTTTTGTACTGGATGGAATTTTTTTTTAAAGTCAAAAGAACTTAAAATCCAGATTTGACACTGAAAGATTTGTTCAAGGACAAGAAAAGTTGCAATGTTACTTGCATTAAAATCACTGCATAATATTATTTCACAGTAAAAATTGACTTTGTGTTGAAATTTTTTCATTGGACAAAAATATTTTTACTTTAGTGTACAAAAGAAATATTGTTTTCTTCTGGAAAACAGCTGTGACATAATTCATGATGCTTTGCATGAACACAACAAGACACACCTGTATGTGAAGTGTTGAAATCTCTTGGAGCTAAGCTTTTCATATTCTTCCAGACATGGTTATCTTGAAAATGAAAGCAATTTATATGGAAAAGTAAATAATTTCATTAGTAAAATCTGGTTATTGACAATTATTTCCAATGCAATTAAATGAGCATTCAGTCATTAATAAGCACCATTACTCCCCCCAACCCAACCTTCTCGATGTCTTGCTGTGATTTAAATCCATCTCCAATTTTCAGAGATGGTCCCTTAGTAACTTGTCCATGTTTTTATAACCACATTGGAAATGAATTATCAAGGGATAGGTATAAATATTTCTTGATTCTGCTGAGTAGGACAATTTTAGATGAGTGCCTTACAAATGCTGTCAGTGTAGTAATCCCAATATAAATTATTATCCAGATACACGTCTTAAAATTTTCATCATTCTCATTTTCTTAGTGATGATTATGTTTTCATTATTTTGTAAGAAATAATTTGGGGTTTGGAGGCCCTGCATGACTGAGTGGTATAGCCTATCATGTGCTGCAACAAGACCTTGGGGTTCCATAATTTATGTAGTTTCTGTGATGACCACAAAATTATACACTTTGCTTTACGTTTATTTCCTACCATCTTATTTTTGAAATAAGAACTAGATGTATACAATTATCATGAAGAGAAGATGGCTTAAAACAGTGCCTTGAGGAACACCTAAATGCAACGTTTTCTCTAATATTTTTCCTGTGTGCGCAGAACTGGTGGTTGTTTAAGCAGCCTTATTTCCATGTGAATAAAACATTTTCAGAAACATTTGTGATTGTAAATTGTAATTATTGACTAAAATAAAAATTTGTAATAATGTCTTTTTAATAAAGAAGATGTAAAGAAGATGTATGGCTTAGAAATCATGTATAGTTTTCATACTTTATCGCAATTAAAATTTTATGCTACAATTACAAATGTACCACAAAACTCAAGTAGACCTACATGTAATTCTTATCCAAACATTAAAATAATGTTGAATGCTGAAGTTTCTGCTGCCTATCCTGCTTCGACAACCATAGTTGATAAAGTCTGTCAAGATTGACTTGTAAGCCAGAGCCTTGATAAGACTTTATCCTCATCATCAGGTCCAAGTGGTCACCAGATGTTTTCATGATTTGGCCTTAATGGCATTCATAAGGCTAAACTGCATTCACAGTCTGCACCTGATGCCTTGAACAATTTGCACACACATCCAGTAGATAAGACAACATGATAAATTGTTCATGTTGAGTGCAAACTAGACTACATCATCAAATGTCATCATTAACCTGGACTTGAATTTTTTAGAAATTATGAATCTGAATACAAGATACTGTCACACAAGTTTTTTTCATGTTTCATTTGTATCTTTGCAAAATCTGTGGATTTGACAACTTCTTGATGCAGTATTTGCAGACTGGATCACTGTGTTCTTCAAAATGCTTTTTACAGTAGTCAATAAAAACAAGAATGGGGGCCCCAAGTGGCCGAGTGGTCTAAAGTGATGTCCATTATGGATCACTGCCATCTCATATCTGTCTGCATGGGTTCTAGTCTAGAATTCGGTGAATGTGGATATGTGAGAAAGCTTGCCTGTAGCTTCTCGTGGGTCGGTGGTTCTTTCCAGTGCTTTCCCGGTTTCTTCCTCCACTATTAATACTGGCCGCCATGAATAGCCTATCGTGTGCTGAAAAA